CACATTTTAAGATATATAGGTGAAACTCGAAAAATTAGAATATCATGCAAAAGTTCATTTATTTCAGTAATGCAACTTAAAAGTAATATTCTAATTTTCTGAGATTGTGGATTTGGGGTTTTCATGAGCTGTAAACTATAATCATCACAATGATGACAAATCACGGCTTGAACTATCTTGCTTTGCATGTTATGAGTCTATTTCATATATTACTTTTAAGTTGCATTACTGAAATAAATGAACTTTTGCATGATATTCTAATTTTTCGAGTTTCACCTATATATCTTAAAATGTGCTGTTCTATCATTGTAACCTGTCACCCTGAAATGACTGATGTGTTGTTTTAAGTTTTATAAAGCTGCTTTTAAAGTCCAGTTTTGGTTCAAGAAATAACATGCTGTTTGGTTATAAGAATCCTAATGTACACATGTGCATAAATGTATGTGTACTTATATACTGTACTTATTTGAATGCATGTGGGCATGTATGAACATGATTTAATTTATCCCTTTTATGAGCCTAAATTTAACTGACTTTATAACACTTTAAATATATAACCTGCAACATCAGCTAAATAACAAAATAAACCAACACTGCAATGATAAACAAATTCTGACTAAATAAATGTTTAAAAATGAGGATAGGAGTTTAAATCTTACAGAGCACTGGTGTCAAATTTGATTGCGTCAGGCTGGATCCTCACGTATCACGATGTTTTTTGCCTTTGCGCAGCTGGGGTGGGCGTGGCCTGGATCTGAGGTATCCGGCCTGTAGGCCGGCAGCTTGACAGGCCTGTTATAGCGTTTAAAACCCTGGAATCATGAGAGAACAAAATGGATACTCGGTATCTGAGGAGTAACAAAAGATGAATAATATTAGGGAGGAGATTCCATAATTTGAGTGCCTCAAAAAATTACATTTCTTGCTGTCCACCTAACTCCAGTGTTAGGAAGTAGAGCCTTCAAAGATTACCTCAGCTGATGCAAAGTCTACTTGGAAGAGAGGCACCTGCCAATCCTCCTTTCCATTGCAGTAAATGTATTATGTGAAACATGTCCTGGAAAACAACGATTATGCCTGAAAGAATATTTTGTGCAATTGCATACAATGCATGTCACTTCATATTAATTAACAGGCACAACAACTAATTAAATCTTAAACTTTGTGGGTATTCCTGTGACCGGGCATTGAAATAGCTTTAATGGTTTTCCAAGGTTTTCTGTATAAAAACAAAGCGGATTGCCAGTTGTTATTTGACATGAGAATCTAAAGCCCCAGTAGCTTCTTTGAGTCCGGCCAGGTAAAAGCCTTTCTATCTTCTAGCCCTTTTGATTCCAGCATCAAATAAATACACCAGAGACAAAGCTGTTATATTTCTCTGCACTGTAACTCTTCCCAATGGAATAGCAGCTCCGTTGAAGGAAGCAAAGGTGAAATTAGACAGCGGGAAAGAGCAATAGACAGCTGGAATTGTCCTACTGTACCATTGTTCATGGCTTCTGAGTTTCAAAGAGAGCAACACCTTGAAATAGAAATATCAGGGCTATACAAATAGAACTGTTGTACAATTGCATCTAGTCATGGTACTGCTTGAACCTGGAATTGTTCTGCATAGTGGGCCATCAGAAACACACTGAAAAAAGTAAGAAAATAAATATTTCTCAATGAACCTTCATCTCTTCAAGATCTACTGGAACCTTACAGTTTAGAACCAAGCCCATTTCTACTTGTCCCCAGGTTCTTCAATAATTTATTGAAATATTAGAGAATACAATAAATACATTTACAGTGCATTGGTACTTACTGGATTTCTGTTTGTGATATGGAAGCTTTGTAGAATATAGAATAACAGAGTTGGAAGGGATCTTAGAGGTCTTCTTGTCCAACCCCCTGCATAGGCAGGTAACCCTATACCATTTCAGACAAATGGCTATCCAACAGCATTTTAAAAACTGCCACTGTTGGAGCATTCACAACTTCTGGAGGCAAATTGTACCACTGATCAATTGTTCTAGCTGTCAGCAAATTTCTCCTTAGTTCTAAGTTGCTTTTCTCCTTGATTAGTTTCAACCCATTACTTCTTGTCCTGCCCTCAGATGCTTTGGAGAATAGCTTGACTCCCTCTTCTTTGTGGCAGTCCCTGAGATGTTGTGATTGGCTGTAGCAGTCATTTAAAAAAAAACTAAATTCCACCTTTGTAGATCCTGCATGTAATTTACAGATCCTGCATGTAATTTTGGTTTAGCTATCATGGAGTTGTCTAGTGTTCAGAAGAAATGTTTTGCTTTAGATTACAGCTTCTATCTTCTCTTATAGAATGCTTTTGAAAGTATAGAAGTTTTGTTCTCTTGCATCTGACTGGTACTCAGCAAGTTTGGGGTGTATGTTTCCATTAGAACTGAAAATGACAATTCCACTCCCTACAGATGCTTTCTTTTTGGAAAAAGCCATGGAACTTGCTAAGCGGCACGCAAACGCACTCTTTGACTACGCAGTCACAGGAGATGTAAAGATGCTTCTGGCAGTTCAGTGCCCCCTCATAGCCGTTCAGGATGAAAATGGGGATAAGTAAGTATGTAATAACATAAAAGCAAATTTGTAGAAAATGATGGCATGCCTTTTTTTTCATGATGGGAAAACCCTAATTTCCCAAATTCTGTGTTTTCCATTTTATTTATTTTTTATTAGAAAAACAGCTTTCTCAGTGATGTCTACAGCTGATATCCAAATGAAAAAAATTTTTTTTTCTAGAATCACAATGCCGATTCTGCCCTTTCGTAGTTGTATTGCAGCCTATCACACAAGTCTCAATGTATTCAATGACATTTACCCTGTTTCCCCGACAATAAGACCTCCCTGGATAATAATCCCTCCCCGAAAATATTGCAACACAGCAGCAGTCATGGCATGACCATGCTCGCGCCCTCCTGCACTTCAAAAATAATAAGACCTTCCTGAAAATTGAGATTTTGCAGTATCCTTTCCCTGCCACGCCCACCAAGCCATGCCTACAGAACTGGTAGTAAAAAAATTTGAATTTCAACACTGCTTGCTAAGTTATCCTCTGACTCTCTCCCTATTTAAGATGCGGTTCCAACTGTAATAGCCTGAAAGTAACATTCATGAAATTCACTGCTTTTTCTATTGTTTCTAGGTAAACCAGTTTAACTTTTGAAGTATCATTCTCAAGATTTTATTTTTCCCCAAGTAATAGATGTCATATTCTACTCTTGAAATGACACAGAAAGGAAAATAAGGGTTCCAAAATGAGGCTACATTCCAATGATTCATTCGTAGGTGCTTCTCATTTAGAGAAAAAGAGGCAAAATTATCTGACTCATCTCTATGTGTAACGTTTCAAAACAGGATGAGAGGGTTTTTTTCCCCCCTTCGACTTTGATCCATTTTGCTTTTAGATCAGAGATAACTCATCCCTCATTCCACTCTTTTTTCCAGAATGCCTGAAGGCTTGAGTTTTTTTGCAGTTCACATCTCTTGCAGTTGATGCAAATCAATTATTCTTCCAGAATGTACTGAAGAATTTTCATATGGGAAAAAAAGATAATAATATTTAAGGGTGGTATTCACTTTCCTTCCCTACTGGTTCACAAATGTGAGCACGCATGTGCGCCCTCACTTTGCGTGCATGTGCCACTTCCACACATGCGCTCAGCCTTCCGTGCATGCTAAAAAAAAGTGACTAAATGGGATGCCATAGAGCTGGGATGGGTGGGCGAGGCCACCTGAAATTTCCGCTACTGGTTAACTGGCAGAATAGCACCACTGAAATAATGATGGAAACACTCTATTTGGACATGACGGGAGTTGAAGTCTAACATATCTGGAAGGTTATCTGATGGGAGGAGTTTACCTTTCCTCCTATTCCAAACATCAGTCTTTGATATTTAATCTTGCCATTTCCTTCAAACAAATAATGAAGAATTGGAAGCTTCTCAATTTTGAAGCTGTAGAAATTGGCAGGTTCATATGTTACCAGCTCTTCCCCAACACTTGGACCTGGGAGGAAGCCCATGTAGGTTTAGGAATCAAAAGAAGGTTGAATTTAAATTAAAATAATGTTTTAAAAGTCGTTTAAAAGAAATAAAGCATTGAAAGAAGATCTTTGGTTGTGGCCAGTGGTAATGTCGCTGCAAAGAGTTAGCTCAAATCAATGTGATTCCTAACTGCTGTAGTACAAGAGATTTGCATACTCTATTCAATTAATTTCTTGCTTTGTGAAAATGTTGTAGTCTTGATTTATGACCTCTTTTTAAATACATGCTTCCTCTTCCTTACATGTTGTGAAATTCTATTTTGGTTACCATTCTGGAATTCTATTCATGCTATATCTTGCTACATTTTCTTAGGCAGGGTTCACAAGGCACAAATCATGCAGCCATCTTCTCCCTATTGGTTAATTGCCCATTATATGTTGGCAATACTTAATATAAAATAGCTGGAAATGTCACATGATTTTCATTTTGTAATTCTCCAAACTCCAGTATTGGAAGATTGGAGGCCGTCTCTTCCTTTTCCATTCCTTCAAAATATGTTCATGTATGAGATGCATTGCATTGCATTGCATTGCATTGCATTGCATTGCATTGCATTGCATTGCATTATTAATGACACAATTGGGGTTAATGCCACTATGTAAAAACTGGAATCCTTCAAGTTGCCTTCTGATCCTTTTTCACATACAGCCTAAGTATGGCCATAAGAAAGATGAAAGCTAGGATGGGAGTTTGTCGGAGGCTTTGTTATTATGGGGGCCTCTGGGATGTGATTTCAGGTTGAATATGTTATTTCCAGGAAGTGAAGGGAGACAATTGCCCTGGAGGAACTTAATTTAGCAATAGCACTTAAACTTATATACAGTACTTTACAGCCCTCTGTAAGCAATTTACAAAGTCAGCACAACAATCTGGGTCCTCATTTTTCCCACCTCAGAAGGATGGAAGGCTGAGTCAACCTTGAGCTAGTAAGATTTGAACTGCTGAACTGCAACTACCTACCAGTCAGCAGAAGTAGCCTGAGGTACTGCACTCTAACCACTGCGCCACCTTGGGTCTTAGCCTCAAACAAGACTGTTTTTCCCTCTCTGAAATGACCAGAATAAAGCTGCCGTACAAACATGCTTAATTTATTCTTTAAAATCTATGGGTTGGCTCACAATGAATCTCACCACATGCAATGAGCTAAGTGAGATGTGGCAACAGTTAGATGATGTATTTTCCTCATAGGAAAATATACTCTACTAGGGAATTCCCAGCCTCGGAAAGAAGACTATCGATAGTGTTAATCCACAGGCCATTGTTTCAAGGCATATCTTGACAAATAACTATGGATCTGTACAGCAAGGTGAGCCAAATTAGCCGTAACAAGAACTACACAGTTTGCTCACAGGATTTCTTTGTTACAAGTAGATTTTATTTTGAAATTGAAGGATGGAATAGAAAACAATCAACTTAAATTAAAATATTGTTTAGGGTTAGGCATAACAGCTTTGGGGTTGTTTTTTTAACCATACCAGATTTGACTTCCATTATCATTGGAAGCTTTTATTTTTGTGGCCGTAATAAGATTGAACTCCAGCAGCCTATGATTTCCACTTAGTGGAAATCATTGATCAGACTACCAATTCTGTCTTTGGAACTATATATATGTTTTAGACCTCATGAAGAAGAATGAATAAGTTCATCAGCAGCACTTTCAGTTATGAGTGAAAGTAGACAGGTCTTGGGTAGGGCTTCTAAGAATTGACTTGTATGTTCCCTATAACCAACTTAGTCTGGCCAGAGACCAGTTGAAATTTTCCATTATCAATTTCTATGGAGATTCTTGATCATCCAGGCCAGAACTGAAGAAGCTTCTTGAATGAGAAGCAAAATATTTTTAAGGAAGTTCCATTGCCTTTTGGAAAAGAACTTTTTGAGATTTCCATTATCAAGAGCTGTATTTGAATTTTCAGAGACATCTGACTGGCTGCTATTGAAAAAAGACATGCAGGAGAAAATGTTTTGATCCTCTGAGCCAACTTTTAGTCCAGCATTTCATGCTAAAAGGACAAAGTGGGTGTGGGGGAAGGATTGGACACAATTGTTAACACACTCTCCAAAAATCCCCTTTGCCAAGGAAAACCAAACATGATGGGAGTTTAAGGAGTACAGATTGGATGTAGCTTTTTTGAAAATGCTGCTCCTTGTTCTTCTTCCACCAAACCAACAACCATTTATGCTAGTGTCTTTGCCTTGCAAGCCGTCTTTCTCCCTCGAAAAGATCTTAGGGTTTTTTTTTAATTCAAAAAAATAATTTGAGTGATTTATTCATCGTCCTTGACGCATTGTTTGATTACTTGTTTAAACAAGTTAAGTTTGAAAAGTGATGAAGCAATAATGGATAAGTTGAGGAAGACGGACAGTTTTAAATACAATTTTAAAATCACTTAGAAGCACCTCAGGGGATATTTTCATAGGCAGTCGTGGGAACTTCCGGTTGTTTCTCCTACCCTTTTTCCTTTTTTGAATTATGAATGAATGGGAACCAAATGCACTTAAAGAAATAAGAAATTGTGGTCTCAATACAGTAAAACAAGGAGGTTGGATTTCCGTAATGTGTTCCATCTTACATATTAAATGTGGTTTAGAGTTATTTCCCCAGTGCATCTCTTTTTCTAGCTACGCTTCTGAATATATATTAAAGACAAGAACATTAAAGATCTGCATAATAGTAGGGAACTGTCTAAAAAGGAACGTGTCATTTCCCTTTCAAGCTGATGTAGCTTTAGACCTTAAATCATACCCAATAGTTCATCAAAAAAAAAAACCCTAAATCGTATCATGAGAAACAATAAAAACCTACTTTATTTCTTAAGTTTACAGGTTACATATATATTAAATATACAAATCTTTATGCTAGATTGTAAGGGTTTATCTTATGCCTACATACACTATTTCTGTGTTAACTATGTTGCATCAAATTAAGAAGCAACTATGTAAGAATATCAGGGAGGCTTGTGGTACCTTAAATTGATAATGGATAGTCCACTTCAACAGAACTGATTTCAATTCCGTTTTACATGATGTTAGATTGCCCTTTGCTGTCTGAAGCAAAACCATGGCTATCTTTCTGGAAATTGAGGGTAACAATTTCATTCTATCACTGTATTTGTCACTAAAACTCCAGATTTAGAAAAGGAATTCCAATTTTCCTACACAACTCTACTGTATAATTCTGCAAAAATGCTAAGTAAGGAAAATTATTTGCAATATATTTATCTCTTCTGGTATTATTGCTGAAAATTTTTCTTTTCCTTTCTTCCTTTTGATCGATACCAGTGTCCTGCACTTGGCAATTATTCACCTTCACATGGAACTAGTGAAGAACCTTTTAGAAGTAATAGCAAATATGAATGCTGCTGCTGTTCTCAATGTGAGAAATGACCTTTACCAGGTATGGAAACATTGGGAGGACGGTAATACACAAACCAGTTCATTTTTGGACCAAAGTGGATCTATATTAGAGGACATAGTGAAATTGACAAGATGACATAGTGTCTGCAACTCAAGTGACCCATTCAGGGGTAGCATCCTATAAGTTTAACAATTGGTTTGCTGAGCGCGCGCATGTGCAGTTCAGGGAATACTTACCTTCTGGATTGCTGCTTGGGAAGGAAAACAGCTGAGGCGCAGCAATCCACTCTGCTGCATGACTCAGCTGAGAAGGTAAAGGTAGGTTAAGTGCAGGATGGGCGGATGGGCCCACCTGATCGTGGGAGCGAACTGGTTCGCTGCCAGCTGATGGTCGGAGCTACTGGTTCAGGAGAACTGGTCCGAACCGGTAGAATCCCACCACTGGACCCATTCAACGTTACCTTTCTACTGTTCTTAAGCTGCAGATTTTCCAGTGCATCCATCATATTAATCAGTTTCCATGCTTGTACTTTATATACCGTTTGTACGGTATATTTGTGCAAAAGGAACCAGTTTGGGACAGTAGTTTAAAGCCCCCAGGTTTGAAACTGGGAATCTGAGTTCTACTCTGCATTAGACACAAAGCTAGCTTGGTGAGATTACCTTAGGGAAGTGGCACATCACTTCCAAAAACGTTCCAAAGAAAACTGCAGGGACAACAATTCCAGGCAGTTGGCAGGAGTCAAAATGACTTCAAATGCGTACATTTAAACACATATCCAAAAACAGATGTGTCCGGGGGGGGGGGGAATTCTGATGGCCTTTTTATTTCTCCCTTCTCCTTTTTTTAAACAGACTCCTTTACACTTGGCTGTTATAACCAGGCAGGCAGGAATTGTGAAAGCCTTGCTTGGGGCTAAGGCTGACGTGACCCTCTTGGATCGCCATGGGAATTCTGTCTTCCATTTGGCAGCTCAGCAAGGAGATGAGGTGGTTTTAAGTATGTTGCTTCATCACAAAGAGGCATCTGTGATGAGAGACCTTCCTAATGGGGACGGTAAGCACGTATCAGGAATATCTTTCTAATGGATCGATAATGCTGTCCTATCACTTTCTCAAGAGCTATTTGTTGTTTCATTAAAATGTAGATTTCCAAGCAAGCTCTGTATTTTAATTATTTGCATTTTGAAACAAACACATTATTGTACCACTTCCTTTGTCAACAGCTGTACTGTCTTCTTTAACTGTATAACCAAAGTCGCTTTAGAGTAGACTGAAAAAAACTGACCATAAGCTATAAGAAGACAGGGATAAGGAGGATGTCATGTCAATGTGCCATCTCTTCCCTTGTCTGTCTCTGCTGTGATTTGTTATTTTCTTGATGGAAACCTTCCAAAAGATGTCTTTAATGTTTCCATTGTTTCTCTCCTACAGTGCTGCCTATCTGAAATTTGGTATTTTGGGGTGGTTCATTGTGACCAATTATGTCATAGAGGTTAAGGAATATGTCCTGAAATATGTCAGCCCAGTTTTTATACAGCCTCTGTTTTGTTTTTTTGTAACATTTTTTTTTTTTAAAAATTGAATTTTCAGGAAAAATTGTCTCGAGAAAGGGCAACTCTCCCTATATAGAGAGTTTTTTTCATGGTGCAAATACTCTTTGCTTGATTGCCTCTTATTATGGTTGATTGCATGGACAGGGAGATGTTTAAACAAGGTTTGGCATTTTTACCCACTAGTGAATCTTTCCCATTGAAATGGGATAGAGAGATGCTGTTAAAAGTACTATCATGGAATGTGAGCTTTTCTAAGCTGTTGTTGTTGTTGCTATACAACAGTGGGAAATTACAACTGCCAGTTCTTGATACACATTGAATTCCTCCCAAGAACCTAGGATATTGTAATATTTCAGTGTTGTATATGTGTGGATTCAAGCGCTATGGATACATGGAAATTCTGTCAATGCACAGATTTTCTAATTGCTGTCCAAGATTTTTTTGTTCAGTGTGCAAAACTATTGGAACTACTGTATTTTTCAGAGTATAAGACTCACCGGAGTATAAGACGCGCCCAGGTTTTGAAAAGGCAATTTTTTAAAAAAAAAGTTTTTGCACTCTGCAGACCTCCCAAAAATGGCCCATTTTTTGTGAAAATGGGCCTGTTTTTTTTAAAGGGCATGAATAGCCTTTAGGATGCTTGTAGAGTGCCCCCAAAACAAGCAAAAAGCGGCTCATTTTTCATGAAAACGGGCCCATTTTTTGTCAAAAAAAGGGCATGCATAGCCTTTAGGAGCCTTACAGAGTGGTCCTGGGTGCTGGGCCATTTTTTGCTCATTTCTGCCCTCCCCAGCCCACAGTATCACTCTGCAAGGCTTCAAAAGGCTATGCACAGCCATTTTGGTGAAGGGGCGGGGTTTCGGGAGGCAAAAAATGCTGTATTCATTGTATAAGATGCACCCAGATTTTCAGCCTCTTTTTTGAGGGTAAATGGTGTGTCTTATACTTCGAAAAATACGGTACAACAGTTGGTTTACACCATAATATTTCAATTTTGCTTTTAAGATCTTGGTACTTTCTGATCTTCTTCAATTCTTTGCTTTCTGTTCTACTCTCCCTGGTATTGCCACATGAATTAACCATATTTTTTCTTATTATTATTATGATATAGGCCTGACAGTCCTTCACTTAGCTGTTATAGCAAACAGTATGCTGTGTCTCAGACAACTCCTTGCTCATGGTGTTGATGTCAATATCCAGGAACAGAAATCTGGAAGGACAGCCTTGCACCTGGCTATTGAACAAGGAAATATTTCCATGGCAGGTTGCCTTCTACTTGAGGTGAGAGGGAGGGAGGGAGGAAGAGAGAGAGAGAAAGAGAGAGGTAGAGAGAGAGATCATGTTGAAAGATCATCACATCTCACATGTTTCAATTCCTTAGTAAAATCTAATATGCTGTTCTTATCTGACATCTCACAAGATTTCAATCGGGAACACAAAGTCTTCTGAGATTTGTTAGCTCTGGAACATTTTGATTATTTTAATCTTATTTTAAAGTGCATTTATTCTAGGAAGACTATAATATAGTTGTGTTCTTAGGCTTTGCTTTAAAGCTGGTCACGAGCCAAAACAGCTTTTTTTTTTCCTTAATAAAACCAGGGTGATGCATTTGTGGACAGCGTTACTTATGATGGAACCACTCCACTTCATATAGCAGCTGGAAGGGGATCTACAAAATTGGCAGCACTTCTCAAAGCAGCAGGTAAGGAAGTAAGTCTACAATGGCTGTGTCATGAGTCACTCCCAAAGTTCTAGCTGGAAAAAAAAATACAATTTGAAATTATAGCCTAAAAATTGCATTGCTTTTCTAATAACCACACACACAATCTTATGCTTTGCCTTATTGTAATGCAACAGTGGTGGAGTTTTTGTCTTGTAATATTAAACAATTCACATTTTAAAATGTTTTACCCTTTTCCCTCTTAATCCCTTTTTCATTCTCCCCCTCTTCTTAGTCCATTATCTGCTCCACACCCTTTTCTTCAGCTGCATTATCATTTCTTCTTACTCATTTTCTTTTGTGGTTTTAGTGATTCTCTCATTGAAAATTTCAATACAGAATTAACTATGTCATTAGGCAGATTGGGGTAATTTCCCTGATCATCAGAGGCTGACAAAATATGGGATGGAAAGCCTTGCGTGATCCTGCCCAATTCCTTGTTCTGTAGCCCAACACCCTCAGATAATTTAGTGCCTCAGCTGACTCAGTGTTGACCTTTTTCCAAATTTCCTTTTTAAAAAATTATATGCATTGTTGTAATATATGGTGTTAAGCCTTTGAAGGCAGAGATCTTTTCCCCACTACTGAGTTAAAGCGCTATCCATCATCCTTAAGGGGCATAAAACAATGCCAGCATAAAATTTTCTGTGCCCGTTGCCAATATTTCATTTATTTCTACTCGCTACCAAATGGTGCTGTCCTTATTTAAAGGTATGTCATATACTCTTATAGAAAATCGTGGCTTTTCCTTTCTCTGTGCTGTTCTCCTCTTTTATACATCACAGTTCAATGAGAAAATGCTCATCAGTCAAGGCACTGCAGCATGAATCGGGTTGGGTCTCACTTTGGGAGCCTGTATATCGTTCTCCAGGATAATTACTCTGCCCCTCTTAGCACACCTTATTTAGGCATCTCCCACATTAAAACAATGTGAAATGAATAAGAATAACTTTGACACTAGAGGAGAAATAGTCCCAAAGAGGAAGAAGGCATCCCCCTGCATTGATTGTGCAACTAAACAGATACTAAAAAGAACAGAAACTTATAGCTGCTGGGAAGTGTTTCAAACTGGAAAGTATGGTAAACTGTCATAAAACATCAATTCAATGCCCTCATATTCTGGACATGTAGGTAATTGTTCTGAAGATAAAGATACATTTCAAAATACTATTAAGGCAACATAGATCAAGAATGCCTGCCTTTCCTTCTCCAAATAAAATACTGGAGGTCATTTTATAGTATCATTAAACAGGATTAACCTTAATACAACCCCACTTCTTCCCCATATAAAATTGTGTTCTTCTCTTTTAAGTCTTCTTGTAGGTTTGAGAGAAGTGGATGAAAAATAGGAAGAGGGTGGTTATGAAAGTGCTAGTGGAGCATGCACCCACTCTGAAGTGACTTAAACAAACCATGGTTAGTGATGAGAGGAGTGTATACCCTCCTCCAAACAGTCCCAAAACACACCTCAACAGAGCTTGCTTACAATATTATAATTATACCTTGAAGCTGCAAGATAGAAAATGCTTCTTTAAAACTCATACACCTCATGTGTAACATAAGGCTGTTCCATTCATGAGCTTGGGATGAGTCGAGGCAAATTTGTGCAGGGGAAACTTGGTATAGATAAGGCTTTCTATACTATGTTAAACTGCAGTTGGAAAGCAGAACCAGAGAGATTCATAAATAAAACCTGAAGTAAAGAGGAGAAAAATAGAGAAAGTCAAACAAATGGAGACCCCTTCTTTTTTCAAAAATTCTTTTCCTTGGAGAGGTAAAGCATTCTTATCAAGATTATTTTACTGTTGTAGCCAGGGGTATCAAGCTCAAGGGCCGGGGGGGGGGGCCGGATCCAGCGTGCGGGGTACTTAGGTCTGGCTCACGGGACCACCCTGGAAACAGTGAAGGACCGGCCCGCAGTGCTTCTGCCAGCAAAACCAGACTCAGGAGGGCCATATGTAGCAGAGCGCTCAGGCGCCCCCAACAGGAGTGATGTCGAGCTGGCCATGCCCACCCAGGCTCCCAAGGTCAAACGCAACCCTGATGTGACCCTCAATGAAATCGAGTTTGACACTACTGTTGTAGACCATAATGGATATTTAAATAAATTCATATTTGTTCTCCAGTAGAATTTCTCATGTCTGCAGCATGATCATTCCAAGTACTGTGTTTGGCACTATGACTAACACTTAAAAGAGATAATTAACAAAGAGTTCCATTTAAAACTAATCAAATTCTGCCCCAAATTTGCTCGAGGATGTAACTAATATTATCTGTTGAGGTGTTTTTTCTTTATATGGGATCACTCCAATTATTTTTGGAAGCTTGTTAACATACACTAGATAACACATGCAAACACTGTCAATGTGCTCATATTGTTTCAAAATTGGGAAATTGGGATGAAATTAAGTAATGGCAATGATATCTAGGTGCCTTGAACTTTTAATTTCCTACATACAGTATTAAAGTATTACAATAAAAATGCTAAAGGTAGTTTATGGGGTCTCTCCCACATTCTTTAATTACTAGGTGCAGATCCGCATATTGAAAACTTTGAACCGTTGTTTGAAGAGGAAGATGCGAAAGATAATGAACGTGAAAAAATTATACCTGGGACAACACCTCTGGATATGGCAACCAGCTGGGAGGCAAGTGATCACTGACACCTTGTTTCAAAAGCCAACACTTTTTTGTTCGTTTTTTTTTTTCCTTCTTCGGTTCATTTTAATCAGATATTTTCTCTTTTGAAAAAAATGGCACTGTGGCTTTCTAATACATTCACTGCTCAAGGATGTGGAGAGTTATAGTTCAGCAATATCTGAAGGGCAATTTTCAATGCACAATGACACTCATTCTGTTTTTACAATGATACAGTCAGTGCTAACATCTTAAGAAAGGGGTGTCAAACTCAAGACTTCCCCGGATAATAAGCCCAATCGGGATTTTGAGCGCATACGCTAAATCAAGCCCTTCCCCCAAAATAAGCCCTCCGCGAAAATATTACAACACAGCAGCAGCTATGAGGTGACCACACTCGCCACCTCCTACACCTCAAAATAATAAGACCTCCACAAAAATAAGGCCAAGCGCTTATTTCGGGGAGGGGGGGTCAAAAGAAAATAAGTCCCTGTCTTATTTTCTGGGAAACATGGTATAAATTAAAATCACTTTTGATTCAGAACTGGAAAACATTTCCTTGGGTTGTCTCGGCTGTTCTACTGCTGTAGTAAAGGGGAGAACCTAAGAACTTGAATGTCACTGTGACACAGCATTATTTCTAAACTTGGCAACTGACCAATACAATGCTCAGGAAAAATGCGCTTGATAAAATCAATACTTTCTCATCTCCAGCTAGTTGTTTTGTCGCCTTTCTTGACAGGTGTATGACATCTTAAGTAGAAAACTCTGTAAGTCAAAGGCAGCTTCTGAAGAGCTACCGATTCAAGGTGAGAGTGTATTTAAGCAAGAAAATTAATCCTTTGATACCCATGTGGTCTTTCTGCAGTAGGTATTATTTTGCAGGGAGCCAACTTATATAGGAAGTCAGTGGGGATTTAATGTTTTTTAATTCTAATTAAAAATACCAATGTGGCTTGTTTTGGTACATATAAGAGTATGTATGTTCAATTTCGCAATTGTAGTCATTAGTGAATTTTAATGCTGCTTACAAATACTGTATGCTGTTCCTTTGAAATTTGAAGGAAGTTAACATAGTTTAATGTATGTTTATAGAATCCATAATTATGGATTTTTCTTTTCATTTCTAGGCAATATGAAAGACCTGAATGAGGATGTTAAATTACAGCTGTACAAATTACTTGAAGTTCCTGATCTTACCAAAAGCTGGTCCATGTTGGCACAGAAGCTAGGCCTAGGGATATTAAACAATGCCTTTCGGTTGAGTCCTTCTCCATCAAAAACTCTACTGGATAATTATGAGGTAATTCTCTTAACTGCCTTACTATGGTGAAAATCTTTTTTTGACAAGTTAGTATTTGAAGAATCTCATAATTTTAACTTTCATGCTGTAACATGTAGAACTTCTCACATACTGAATACAAATTCTTTGTATTCTGGAATGTCTCATTTTTAGGGATTTCTGTCTTTCATACTACAGATCAGGGGTGTCAAACTCAAGGTCGGCGGGCTGAATTCAACCTGCGGGGTGCTTAGATCTGGCCGGCGGGGCTGCCCTGGAACAGGAAAGGATTCGGCCACGGTGTCTCCGCCAGTGAAAAAGGAGCTCGGGAGGGCCACACACAACCCTCCCGAGTTCCGTTTTTGCTGGCAGAGGTTTGCAGGGGGCATTGCAGTAAAAAATGGAGTATGGGAGCCTGTTTTCGTTGGCAGAACACTTGGGCCACCACAGGTGCTCCTGACATGCATGACATTGAGCTGGCCACACCCGTNTGTCCAAGATTTTTTTGTTCAGTGTGCAAAACTATTGGAACTACTGTATTTTTCAGAGTATAAGACTCACCGGAGTATAAGACGCGCCCAGGTTTTGAAAAGGCAATTTTTTAAAAAAAAAGTTTTTGCACTCTGCAGACCTCCCAAAAATGGCCCATTTTTTGTGAAAATGGGCCTGTTTTTTTTAAAGGGCATGAATAGCCTTTAGGATGCTTGTAGAGTGCCCCCAAAACAAGCAAAAAGCGGCTCATTTTTCATGAAAACGGGCCCATTTTTTGTCAAAAAAAGGGCATGCATAGCCTTTAGGAGCCTTACAGAGTGGTCCTGGGTGCTGGGCCATTTTTTGCTCATTTCTGCCCTCCCCAGCCCACAGTATCACTCTGCAAGGCTTCAAAAGGCTATGCACAGCCATTTTGGTGAAGGGGCGGGGTTTCGGGAGGCAAAAAATGCTGTATTCATTGTATAAGATGCACCCAGATTTTCAGCCTCTTTTTTGAGGGTAAATGGTGTGTCTTATACTTCGAAAAATACGGTACAACAGTTGGTTTACACCATAATATTTCAATTTTGCTTTTAAGATCTTGGTACTTTCTGATCTTCTTCAATTCTTTGCTTTCTGTTCTACTCTCCCTGGTATTGCCACATGAATTAACCATATTTTTTCTTATTATTATTATGATATAGGCCTGACAGTCCTTCACTTAGCTGTTATAGCAAACAGTATGCTGTGTCTCAGACAACTCCTTGCTCATGGTGTTGATGTCAATATCCAGGAACAGAAATCTGGAAGGACAGCCTTGCACCTGGCTATTGAACAAGGAAATATTTCCATGGCAGGTTGCCTTCTACTTGAGGTGAGAGGGAGGGAGGGAGGAAGAGAGAGAGAGAAAGAGAGAGGTAGAGAGAGAGATCATGTTGAAAGATCATCACATCTCACATGTTTCAATTCCTTAGTAAAATCTAATATGCTGTTCTTATCTGACATCTCACAAGATTTCAATCGGGAACACAAAGTCTTCTGAGATTTGTTAGCTCTGGAACATTTTGATTATTTTAATCTTATTTTAAAGTGCATTTATTCTAGGAAGACTATAATATAGTTGTGTTCTTAGGCTTTGCTTTAAAGCTGGTCACGAGCCAAAACAGCTTTTTTTTTTCCTTAATAAAACCAGGGTGATGCATTTGTGGACAGCGTTACTTATGATGGAACCACTCCACTTCATATAGCAGCTGGAAGGGGATCTACAAAATTGGCAGCACTTCTCAAAGCAGCAGGTAAGGAAGTAAGTCTACAATGGCTGTGTCATGAGTCACTCCCAAAGTTCTAGCTGGAAAAAAAAATACAATTTGAAATTATAGCCTAAAAATTGCATTGCTTTTCTAATAACCACACACACAATCTTATGCTTTGCCTTATTGTAATGCAACAGTGGTGGAGTTTTTGTCTTGTAATATTAAACAATTCACATTTTAAAATGTTTTACCCTTTTCCCTCTTAATCCCTTTTTCATTCTCCCCCTCTTCTTAGTCCATTATCTGCTCCACACCCTTTTCTTCAGCTGCATTATCATTTCTTCTTACTCATTTTCTTTTGTGGTTTTAGTGATTCTCTCATTGAAAATTTCAATACAGAATTAACTATGTCATTAGGCAGATTGGGGTAATTTCCCTGATCATCAGAGGCTGACAAAATATGGGATGGAAAGCCTTGCGTGATCCTGCCCAATTCCTTGTTCTGTAGCCCAACACCCTCAGATAATTTAGTGCCTCAGCTGACTCAGTGTTGACCTTTTTCCAAATTTCCTTTTTAAAAAATTATATGCATTGTTGTAATATATGGTGTTAAGCCTTTGAAGGCAGAGATCTTTTCCCCACTACTGAGTTAAAGCGCTATCCATCATCCTTAAGGGGCATAAAACAATGCCAGCATAAAATTTTCTGTGCCCGTTGCCAATATTTCATTTATTTCTACTCGCTACCAAATGGTGCTGTCCTTATTTAAAGGTATGTCATATACTCTTATAGAAAATCGTGGCTTTTCCTTTCTCTGTGCTGTTCTCCTCTTTTATACATCACAGTTCAATGAGAAAATGCTCATCAGTCAAGGCACTGCAGCATGAATCGGGTTGGGTCTCACTTTGGGAGCCTGTATATCGTTCTCCAGGATAATTACTCTGCCCCTCTTAGCACACCTTATTTAGGCATCTCCCACATTAAAACAATGTGAAATGAATAAGAATAACTTTGACACTAGAGGAGAAATAGTCCCAAAGAGGAAGAAGGCATCCCCCTGCATTGATTGTGCAACTAAACAGATACTAAAAAGAACAGAAACTTATAGCTGCTGGGAAGTGTTTCAAACTGGAAAGTATGGTAAACTGTCATAAAACATCAATTCAATGCCCTCATATTCTGGACATGTAGGTAATTGTTCTGAAGATAAAGATACATTTCAAAATACTATTAAGGCAACATAGATCAAGAATGCCTGCCTTTCCTTCTCCAAATAAAATACTGGAGGTCATTTTATAGTATCATTAAACAGGATTAACCTTAATACAACCCCACTTCTTCCCCATATAAAATTGTGTTCTTCTCTTTTAAGTCTTCTTGTAGGTTTGAGAGAAGTGGATGAAAAATAGGAAGAGGGTGGTTATGAAAGTGCTAGTGGAGCATGCACCCACTCTGAAGTGACTTAAACAAACCATGGTTAGTGATGAGAGGAGTGTATACCCTCCTCCAAACAGTCCCAAAACACACCTCAACAGAGCTTGCTTACAATATTATAATTATACCTTGAAGCTGCAAGATAGAAAATGCTTCTTTAAAACTCATACACCTCATGTGTAACATAAGGCTGTTCCATTCATGAGCTTGGGATGAGTCGAGGCAAATTTGTGCAGGGGAAACTTGGTATAGATAAGGCTTTCTATACTATGTTAAACTGCAGTTGGAAAGCAGAACCAGAGAGATTCATAAATAAAACCTGAAGTAAAGAGGAGAAAAATAGAGAAAGTCAAACAAATGGAGACCCCTTCTTTTTTCAAAAATTCTTTTCCTTGGAGAGGTAAAGCATTCTTATCAAGATTATTTTACTGTTGTAGCCAGGGGTATCAAGCTCAAGGGCCGGGGGGGGGGGCCGGATCCAGCGTGCGGGGTACTTAGGTCTGGCTCACGGGACCACCCTGGAAACAGTGAAGGACCGGCCCGCAGTGCTTCTGCCAGCAAAACCAGACTCAGGAGGGCCATATGTAGCAGAGCGCTCAGGCGCCCCCAACAGGAGTGATGTCGAGCTGGCCATGCCCACCCAGGCTCCCAAGGTCAAACGCAACCCTGATGTGACCCTCAATGAAATCGAGTTTGACACTACTGTTGTAGACCATAATGGATATTTAAATAAATTCATATTTGTTCTCCAGTAGAATTTCTCATGTCTGCAGCATGATCATTCCAAGTACTGTGTTTGGCACTATGACTAACACTTAAAAGAGATAATTAACAAAGAGTTCCATTTAAAACTAATCAAATTCTGCCCCAAATTTGCTCGAGGATGTAACTAATATTATCTGTTGAGGTGTTTTTTCTTTATATGGGATCACTCCAATTATTTTTGGAAGCTTGTTAACATACACTAGATAACACATGCAAACACTGTCAATGTGCTCATATTGTTTCAAAATTGGGAAATTGGGATGAAATTAAGTAATGGCAATGATATCTAGGTGCCTTGAACTTTTAATTTCCTACATACAGTATTAAAGTATTACAATAAAAATGCTAAAGGTAGTTTATGGGGTCTCTCCCACATTCTTTAATTACTAGGTGCAGATCCGCATATTGAAAACTTTGAACCGTTGTTTGAAGAGGAAGATGCGAAAGATAATGAACGTGAAAAAATTATACCTGGGACAACACCTCTGGATATGGCAACCAGCTGGGAGGCAAGTGATCACTGACACCTTGTTTCAAAAGCCAACACTTTTTTGTTCGTTTTTTTTTTTCCTTCTTCGGTTCATTTTAATCAGATATTTTCTCTTTTGAAAAAAATGGCACTGTGGCTTTCTAATACATTCACTGCTCAAGGATGTGGAGAGTTATAGTTCAGCAATATCTGAAGGGCAATTTTCAATGCACAATGACACTCATTCTGTTTTTACAATGATACAGTCAGTGCTAACATCTTAAGAAAGGGGTGTCAAACTCAAGACTTCCCCGGATAATAAGCCCAATCGGGATTTTGAGCGCATACGCTAAATCAAGCCCTTCCCCCAAAATAAGCCCTCCGCGAAAATATTACAACACAGCAGCAGCTATGAGGTGACCACACTCGCCACCTCCTACACCTCAAAATAATAAGACCTCCACAAAAATAAGGCCAAGCGCTTATTTCGGGGAGGGGGGGTCAAAAGAAAATAAGTCCCTGTCTTATTTTCTGGGAAACATGGTATAAATTAAAATCACTTTTGATTCAGAACTGGAAAACATTTCCTTGGGTTGTCTCGGCTGTTCTACTGCTGTAGTAAAGGGGAGAACCTAAGAACTTGAATGTCACTGTGACACAGCATTATTTCTAAACTTGGCAACTGACCAATACAATGCTCAGGAAAAATGCGCTTGATAAAATCAATACTTTCTCATCTCCAGCTAGTTGTTTTGTCGCCTTTCTTGACAGGTGTATGACATCTTAAGTAGAAAACTCTGTAAGTCAAAGGCAGCTTCTGAAGAGCTACCGATTCAAGGTGAGAGTGTATTTAAGCAAGAAAATTAATCCTTTGATACCCATGTGGTCTTTCTGCAGTAGGTATTATTTTGCAGGGAGCCAACTTATATAGGAAGTCAGTGGGGATTTAATGTTTTTTAATTCTAATTAAAAATACCAATGTGGCTTGTTTTGGTACATATAAGAGTATGTATGTTCAATTTCGCAATTGTAGTCATTAGTGAATTTTAATGCTGCTTACAAATACTGTATGCTGTTCCTTTGAAATTTGAAGGAAGTTAACATAGTTTAATGTATGTTTATAGAATCCATAATTATGGATTTTTCTTTTCATTTCTAGGCAATATGAAAGACCTGAATGAGGATGTTAAATTACAGCTGTACAAATTACTTGAAGTTCCTGATCTTACCAAAAGCTGGTCCATGTTGGCACAGAAGCTAGGCCTAGGGATATTAAACAATGCCTTTCGGTTGAGTCCTTCTCCATCAAAAACTCTACTGGATAATTATGAGGTAATTCTCTTAACTGCCTTACTATGGTGAAAATCTTTTTTTGACAAGTTAGTATTTGAAGAATCTCATAATTTTAACTTTCATGCTGTAACATGTAGAACTTCTCACATACTGAATACAAATTCTTTGTATTCTGGAATGTCTCATTTTTAGGGATTTCTGTCTTTCATACTACAGATCAGGGGTGTCAAACTCAAGGTCGGCGGGCTGAATTCAACCTGCGGGGTGCTTAGATCTGGCCGGCGGGGCTGCCCTGGAACAGGAAAGGATTCGGCCACGGTGTCTCCGCCAGTGAAAAAGGAGCTCGGGAGGGCCACACACAACCCTCCCGAGTTCCGTTTTTGCTGGCAGAGGTTTGCAGGGGGCATTGCAGTAAAAAATGGAGTATGGGAGCCTGTTTTCGTTGGCAGAACACTTGGGCCACCACAGGTGCTCCTGACATGCATGACATTGAGCTGGCCACACCCGTCCTGGCCCCCAAAGTCAAACACAACCCTGATGTGGCCCTCAATGAAATTGAGTCTGACATCCCTGCTGTAGATAATCTTCAGCTTACAATGGTAATTGGCCCCAAAATTGTCCTTGCTAAATGACATGATTGTAAAATGCAATGTCACATGACCACATCACTTAGGGACAGCAATTGCAGCAGTCCTGGTTGCCACTGAGTAAAGACTGTAGGTTGAAGACCACATGAGTCATTAAGCGAGGACTTTATGTGACTGCAACATTGCTCTTTCTGATGGCTTCCACATTGATTTTGCTTGTGGGAAGCTGGCAGGAAATATCAGAAATTGTTGTCATGTGGAGGCACTGTAAATCTTTCATTCAGTGTCATTGCAGGATTGAATGAGTCATCATAAGCTGAGGACTACCTTTATAACTTACTGCATTCACCATTGCTTACATTCTTTGTGCAACATTTTTTGAAAGGCTGAACAAATCCCCCTCTAGAGACTTGGATGAAAATTCTGCTTCCTGCATGCAGCTGGGTGTAGCTAAATCTGGCCCTAACCTTCCATTAAGATAATGCAATCATAGATTCCATATCAATTATTGAATTTTTAAAATATTTCTGTTGGTGTAATAAAATGCAAAGGAAAGAAAGATCTACATTGGTAGTAATACAAAAAGAAAAACCCAGCATTAATAAAACATGAATAAAAGCATTAGGAGAAAACTTTCTAGTGAGATTCTTCCCTTCCTTTCTGTTTATTTCCCCAACTGCTGCCAAGAACTAAATACATGCGTTTTATATTAAATATTAAAGTTATGAGAATCTATTTGAATCCTTTCACCTATTATTTGTTTCATATCTTTATTGTAAAGCAATATGCCAAGTGTCTCAATTTGTCCTATTGTATAGTAAGTATACTATAGTATAGTAAGTAGTATATTCCATGCCTACTTAAATTTGATTAGATTTCTATTATGGATGTATATGGCCAATTTTGTCATCACTGCATATAGTATTCTCCTATTTTGGTGTCCCAGTCTGATATTGGCACACTTTCCCCCCCCCCCCATGTGCAAATATGTTCTTGCAGCTGTCAACATACAGTATAGCTTAGAATATTTTATTTTTTTTATTTGTTTTTTTCTGGAATTATACCTAATAAAATTATTTCTGATTTCAGTTCAAGTTTTATTTTTAGAATTTTCTGAGTATTTTGCAATATTTCTTTCTAGTGCTTTTGTTGGTTTACATAACCATCTCTTGTAACATGTTCCTTCTTTGTTATGGTACTTCCAGCATTTACTGTTATTTAATTTGTCTATCTTGGTATTATTGAATCATATATAATCTATAAACCATTTTATACCAATTTTCTTTTTTCTATTTTTCTTCCCATTATTGTATTGTAATTACAATATTTTGCTGGAGTTGTGCACTACTACGTTTCGGAGATAGTTAGCTCTTTCTATGATTGATTCTCACTATTTGGTGGTTTTATCCACTGACTATAATTAAAATATAAAATGAAATGTTTTCTTTCCATTCTGCATGTAGCATTTAAAACATTTTATTTTACTATGTAAATGTGTATTTGCAGTGGAGAAAACAGAAGCATTATATGGCTCTCTTAAATGGTAATAAGTTTGCAGGATTTTAAAAACACTGTACTGCATAGTCATTCAATTGTCCTTAATATTGTTTTTCGGAATGGCAAAGTATAGTTCTAATCTATCTCCCACTCAATCAGGGGTCTCCAACCTTGGCAACTTTAAGACTTGTGGACAAATCTTAAAGTTGCCAAGGTTGGAGACCCCTTCACCAGTGGTAGGATTCAATTTTTTTTACTATCGGTTCTGTGGGCTTGGTGGCATGGCAGGGGAAGGATACTGCAAAATCTCCATCCCCTTCCCACTCCAGGGGAAGGTTACTGCAAAAATCCCCATTTCCTCCCAATCAGCTGGGACTCAGGAGGCAGAGAATAGATGGGCACGGGGTCAGTCACAGGTGGTATTTACCGATTCCGAACTACTCAAAATTTCTGCTACCGGTTCTCCAGAACTGGTCAGAACCTGCTGAATACCACCTCTGCCCTTCACTAGATGTTATTGTATCTATGTAGAGTTTTGGAGGGGAGAAGGGAAACGTTCCAAATTATTTCACCTTTGTTCCCTTATTGGTAGGTTTCTGGTGGAACAGTAAAGGAGTTGATTGATGCTCTCAGAAAAATGGATTATCCAGAGGCTGTTGAAATTATTGAGAAAAGAACTACTTTGTCAAGCCAGTCTAGCCAGGAGAAAGCCAAAAATGATCTTCTTCCATTATGTGATTTACCTTCTCCTAGGACAGAACAAGCAGGTAAATTGCAGGTCAATTCAAACCAGTAGAACTTGGGGACTTCATTGTCCAAAGTCCAAAGATTTGTGGACTTCAATTCCCAGAATTCCCCAGTTACCAGGATTGGGAATACAACTAAATTCATAATTTTGCAGATGAATTCGTTTCTTAGGACAAAGACAGAAATAATAACAATGAGGATATAGGATTTGAGCCGAAAAATTCTACCTTGAGCAGTTTAGAAACAGATGGATATTCATATAATTCTCACACCAAATAAATTAGGGCATAACACCATCAGGTACTTTTAATCATGATAAGCTTCATACACCATTCAGTCTTCCATATTTAACAGATTAGAAATATTACAAACCAAGATAGACACATACTATTTATTTGAAAGATGGATGTTTTTCTTATAATTTATGTTTTAAAAAAGGCACATGAGATTTTAAACTTTTTTTTTTTTTATTGTAAATGTTTTATTCATTTTCATTTTCAATTTTGTACA